CCGCGTAACGTGGTGGAGGTTTCGTCCTTCGATTTTTTTAAGCGTGGGTTGGACATGTATATGAGTGGGATTGGGTGGCTATAACCACAATTTGGTTCCACAAATCAATAACCCTGTTACCGAACCAGTATTTACTAAAGTCTTTCCTAAATCTAAACTTATCCAATTTATAAGCTCTTGATACTAGTAATGGCTCAAAAGGGCCACCATTTAATGGCTTTTCATGCCCGTGCCACCTTTAGGGTGGCTTAATCTTCATCAATCAATCAATCACCATTTGGTCAAGGAAACAATCTCCCGTTAAGCAGGGTGCAGTCGCACCTCCACAGATTTCCAGTATCATCTATTGATACTTGTAATGGCTCAAAAGGGCCACCACTTACAAGCTATTCATGCCCGTGCCACCTTTTGGTTGGCTTAATCTTCATAAATCAATCCATTTGGTCCACACGGGAGACGTCTCCCGTCACGCAGGGTGCAGTCGCACCTCCACTCCTAAAGGGTTTTTTCAGTTGTATCGAACTAAGACTAGGGAAAGGATAGGTCCATTAAAAACCGAGACAGGTCAAAAAACGGGTAATGACAAAGAGATGAGTAGTATTTTTAACAAATAATTTATATCTGTATTTACTAAAGAAGAACCAACAGGAACCAACAGGAAGACCCAACAGAAGAAGAACAAAAGGAGCCAACGCGGGAAAATAATATTTTAGATTTAGTGTTAACTAACAGGGAAACACAAATTAATGACATCGAAATAGGGAGTGAGCTAGGGAACAGTGATCACAAAGAAATCAGATTTAGCATAGAATGGAATAGACCTGTAGGAGAAAATTATGTTAAAGTGCCAGATTTTCGAAAAGCTGATTTTAATAGCCTAAGAAATTTTTGGGTCAAATAGATTGGAAAGTCTTGGGTATGGGGTGTGGGCCGGTCTTGGAGCGAGACATGAACCCAGCGATAGGTGACGTAAAAGGGGATTTTGATGTGGATTTAATATATAACTTATTTAAGAATATTCTAAACAAAGCACAGGAACATTGTGCCATAGGCACAATCAGAGAACACTGTATTAACATCAGAGGTCCGCGGTTGTTCAACGTCCTCCCAGCAAGCATAAGAAATATTGCCGGAATAACCGTGAACATTTTCAAGAGGAAACTAGATTTATTCCTCCAAGGAGTGCCGGACCAACCGGGCTGTGGTGGGTATGTGGGCCTGCGGGCCGCTCCAAGCAACAGCCTGGTGGACCAAACTCTCACTAGTCAAGCCTGGCCTCGGGCCGGGCTTGAATGTGACCATGGTGTTATTGCACATAAAATGCGTTCAAAAGGAATTACCGGAAAAATAGGCAGATGGATCTACAATTTCCTGACCAACAGAACCCAATGTGTAATAGTCAACAAAATAAAATCCAGCCCATCAACCGTGAAGAGCTCAGTCCCCCAGAGTACTGTGCTTGTTCCAGTACTTTTTCTCATCCTCATATCGGACATAGACAAGAACACAACCTATAGCACTGTATAATCCTTTGCAGATGACACTAGGATCTTCATGAGAGTAGGCAACATACAGGATACGGCGAACCTCCAGTCAGATGTAGATCAGGTCTTTCTATGGGCTACAGAAAATAATATGGTGTTTAACGAAGATAAGTTCCAGCTCATGCGCTATGGAAATAATGAAAATATAAAAACGGAAACCACGTACAAAACTCAGGCAAATCATAACATAGAACGAAAAGGCAATGTAAAGGATCTGGGTGTACTCATATCGGAAGATCTTACCTTTAAAGAACACAATAAATTAGCCGTCACAACTGCAAGACAAATGACAGGTTGGATATCAAGAACTTTTCACACTAGAGATGCTATACCGATGATGATACTTTTCAAAACGCTTGTGCTCTCTAGAGTGGAGTACTGCTGCACGATGACAGCACCTTTCAAAGCTGGAGAAATTGCTGACCTGGAGAGCGTGCAGAGATCCTTTACTGCTAGAATCCACTCGGTAAAACATCTAAACTATTGGGACCGACTAAAGAGCCTAAAACTGTACTCCCTTGAGCGCAGGCGGGAGAGGTACATAATAATTTACGCGTGGAAAATATTAGAGGGGCTGGTCCCAAACCTGCACACAGAAATAACATCACATGAGACCAGAAAACATGGCAGGATGTGCAGAATACCCCCGTTGAAAAACAGAGGTGCAACTGGTACTCAGAGAGAACTCTATCAACATCAGAGGTCCGAGACTGTTCAACACGCTTCCACTACACATAAGGGGCATAACTGGCCGACCCCTCACAGTGTTCAAGAGAGAACTGGATAAGCACCTCCAAAGGATACCTGATCAACCAGGCTGTGACTCATACGTCAGGCTGCGAGCAGCCGCGTCCAACAGCCTGGTTGATCAGTCCGGCAACCAGGAGGCCTGGTCGACAACCGGGCCGCGGGGACGCTAAGCCCCGGAAGCCCCTCAAGGTAACCTCAAGGTAGTATAGTTGAGGCAGTTGATAGTGGTAAGGATTGTGATGTGTACCTTGACTTTAGCAAAGCTTTTGATACAGTGCCACATGAAAGACTAATTAAAAAAATAGAAGCTCATGGTATTGGGGGTGCTATATTAAGTTGGATTAGGGCATGGCTATTCCAAAGGAAACAGAGTTAGTATAAATGGGGTTAAGTCAGAGTGGGAAAATGTTGTAAGTGGAGTACCTCAGGGGTCTGTCCTGGGACTTCTGTTGTCTATAATATATATAAATGATTTAGATTCAGGTTTGAGTAACAAAATCTGCAAATTTGCAGATGATACAAAAATCGGTGGGGAAATTAACACGAAAGAAGACTCGCTATCACTTCAAGTTGATCTATATAGGGTTTTAAAATGGTCAAAAGACTGGCAGATGCAGTTTAATGCTAATAAATGTAAAGTTTTGAGGCTAGGAAATAATGATAGAGTTACAAGATACGAGCTAGATAGTGTTGAGATTGAGAAGTCGGATTGCGAAACGGATCTGGGAGTTATGATTAGTAAGAATTTAAAACAAAAGGATCAATGCATGAATGTTCGTAATAAGGCGAATAGGACACTGGGATTTATTAATCGAAGCGTTAGTAACAAGACACCTGGTGTGGTTCTTCAGCTATATCTTATTCTGGTTAGGCGCCATTTAGATTATGCAGTCCAGTTTTGGTCGCCGTACTATAGAATGGATATAAATTCACTTGAACGTGTCCAGCGTAGGATGATAAGTTAATTCACCAAATTAGAAATCTTTCACATGAAGAAAGATTAACAAAGCTTAAGTTGCATTCACTGGAAAGGCGAAGAGTTAGGGGTGACATGATAGAGGTTTACAAGTGGATGAATGGATATAACAAAGGGGATATTAATAGGTTATTAAAATTATCAACTCAAGACAGAACACGAAACAATGGGTATAAATTGGATAAGTTTAGATATAGGAAAGACTTGGGTAAATAATGGTTCAGTAACAGGGTTGTTGATTTGTGGAATCAATTGCCGCGTAACGTGGTGGAGATGGGGTCCCTCGATTGCTTTAAGCGCGGGTTGGACATGTATATGAGTGGGATTGGGTGGTTATAGATAGGAGCTGCCTCGTATGGGCCAATAGGCCTTCTGCACTTGCCTTGTTCTTATGTTCTATCGCTGGGTTCATGTCTTGCTCCAAGACCGGCCCACACCCCATACTAAAGACTTTCCAATCAATTTGACCCAAAAAATTTCTTAGGCTATTAAAATCAGCTTTCCGAAAATCTAGCACTAACAGAATTTTCCCCTACAGGTCCATTCCATTCTATGCTAAATCTGATTTCTTTGTGATCACTGTTCCCTAGTTCACTCCCTATTTCGATGTCATTAATTTGTGTTTCCCTGTTAGTTAACACAATCTAAAATATTATTTTCCCGTGTTGGTTCCTTAATGTGTTGCGTAAGAAAGCAATCGTCAATTAATTCTAGAAAATCTTCTGCTTCACTATTCCCTGTTTTGTTCAACCAGTTTATTCCACTAAAATTAAAGTCACCCCATGACAAATACTGTTAGATCTAGATGCCCTAGATATTTCATCCCATAGATGCTTTGCTTCCATTCTGTCTAAATTTGGTGGCCTATATATAACTCCTATTATAATATTATTTGCTTTTTCGTTTAATTCTATCCAAATAGTTTGTGTGTGGCTCAATTTTGATTCCCTCTTTGAGACTACATTTCAAATTGTCCCTAACATATATGGCTACTCCACCTCCTCGTCTAATATATCTATCTGTGTGAAATAGTTTAAATCCATTTATTTGATATTCAGCTAATAGTTCTCTATTTTCTACATTCAACCTACCATCACTATCTCAGCAGCCACGCTAGCAGACGTGCTGTCTACAAACGATAATAGCACCACCAGTGCTCCTGAAATAGCTACAACCACCAATCAACGGCACCTAAACCTACCTAAGGCTGCGAGGCGAAAGACAAAAACGCCCACTACGGAGGTTACGGACTCCTCAGACGATGAAATCATAGTAGGAGCTCCACCGCCTAATACGACACCTACACGGTTCAAGACTTCCTCATGGAGGCCACGTCACCAAACTCTAACGACAGCACTGCTCAGCCAAATTCGCAGGCAAAGAAAAAACGGAAAACCTAGAGGTCTACACTAACCCAACCAGCTCCATAACTGGTATAGCCAGCCCTCCAGGCTGAAAACCATCATGAAGACCCATCCATCGCCACATCTCTAGTATCAGCCACTGATACAGATAATGGCTCCAAAGAGCCTCCACATACGGGCTCACCATAGCCCGTGCTACTGGAACTTATTGTTCTGAGTAGCGAACCTTAAACAACAACAATAACAGCATAATCTCGCATCTTGTGCTTCTGTGTCTTAGTGTCAACAAGGATTAAAGGTGCTTGTACCTTTTAGTACTAAGTATTTAAGTTAAGTATTAAGTACTTGTGCTTGTTGTATTCCAAGATGCTGCCTGTTTTGGCTGTGTTTGCTACGCTCGTCCAGGGCGACGCAAACATTCAGGTGAGTTTCTTTCATTATTTATCTTGTGGTAATTACTTCGTGATTTACGCCATTAATAGTGTCTATTGGTTTTGAATTTTAAGTGTCATTCTTTCAACAACGTAAGGCATTATTTATGCGAAACAATTTTAAATGCATACTGAAGTTTAGTTTTTTTTTTACGAGAGTAGTGGGCATCCATTAGTCTCAGCAGACATATTTTCATGTAAATTGATTAATCTTTCTTTTATATGAAAACCTTTGGGATTTGTCTAACATCAGTTAGATTTGTATCTAACAGTATATAGATACCCGTGAAGTCGGGAACTGTGGTGGGTTGTTGCACACAATACCACAAAAATGTAGAGGTTTTATCTAACATGTTGTTTGTGGACAGATGTGGAGTGTTGACGTATTAAAAACTAACGAAGTGATCCGGGAACTAGAAAACGGCGGTTACTTCGATATTTGGGGCGACAATACAACCCACGCCCAGGTAAGTAAACTGTTTGCTGTCAGACAACTTTCTTTCGTGAATTGTGCATATACTTGGCCGAAACGTTGTCGTTGCTTCATTTTCATGTGTGTGGTTATGTCATTTATAGTATATTGGAGGGCCACTCGTAATCATACGTCAACTTTGTAGATTCTGGTACGCTATGTTCCAGGTATCCATGCTCGTGAATGGATCTCTCCTGCCGTCTCTATGTATATCCTGAACCTGCTGAATTTAGAAGAGTCTTGGCGAGACCTGCTGAAGAGGACGGAGTGGTACATCGTCAGTATAGCCTGTCGTCAACCCGGACGGCTATCATTACACCTTCACCTCCAAGAGTGCCAGGTCAGTCAACAGTGTACATGATATGCAACACCGTGCAGTGTTCATGCCACACAACCTCGCACAGTGAACACGTCATAAAAGACCCCTGCAGTTTTACAATACACTCTGCACATTACTGCCCAGAAGCGTGTGTATCCCAAGTCGTGACTAGTAATGAGATAATACATATAGCATTTTATAATGGGAAATAATACCAACCTCACGGTTAGTTTCTAAAAAAAAATTTCATTGTCATGATTCTAACATTATTGTTTACTCTAGGCTGTGGAGAAAGAATCGCCAGACCCTCCATGATAGAGGTTGCAAAGGCGTGAGCCTGATCCGTGACTTGGACTTGGAATGGAGCTTCAGCACTCCATTCGACCCGTGTAGTGAGACAAAGGCGTCACACCCTTCACTGAACCAGAAACCCAAGGTCTCCAAGCAATCATGGAAACAGTGGGTGGCATTGACCTGTTCATAGCTTTCCGGGGCTATGGCCAGTCTACCGTTTATCCTGTGTTGCGGAATGATATTCCTCCAGCAAACATCCATGAACACGAAGTTCTGGCTATGGTATTTGCTCATGCCGTGAGCTATACGTCTCGTGGACACATGAATTGAGAGATAGGCGAATCAGGACCACTGTACGGTCTAACCTCTGAAGACTTGGCACCCGAGGCACAGAATAGGTTCATATATATACCATTGATCTCCCTTATAAAGGGAGATATGGACTTCTTCATTCAGAGACTAATATTAGCAGCACTCTGGGAGACCACTGCCGGTATCATGTGCATGGTCCGTCATATTACAAACACAGGCCCACTGTACCAATCCTTAGTAGCCGCCATATGTATAGTTGGTACATATGGCATATGGTTGGTACTAAGGCAGGAGATACTTCTGGAATCAACATTATTTATGTAGGTAATTCCTCACTCTGAAGTTTAAGTTCTAAAATAAACAATAAAAACTTCGACCTGTTTTTATTTAAACTGCTAAGTCTAACAAGTAAATTTACAACAGTAGGCAGGTATTTAGCTAATGAAACAACCGGTCTTTTTATATAATGATGTTCCACTTGATGATGTAGTTATTTACATGAATATATGTATAGTATTTATGTAATTGACTTTATAATAGAGTGTATCAAAATTTCTTTGAAGCTGAAATTATCTTTTCTTTAGCCACTGCTGCACACAAGTACTGTACATAAACGGGCGTGGTGCCAGCTCACGCAGTCTTCCGAGCTTGGTGCCAGCTCACCCCGTCTCCCGAGCTTGGTGCCAGCTCACCCCGTCTCCAGGGCCTGGTGCCAGCTCACCCCGTCTCCAGGGCCTGGTGCCAGCTCACCCCGTCTCCAGGGCCTGGTGCCAGCTCGCCCTGTCTCCAGGGCCTGGTGCCAGCTCGCCCCGTCTCCAGGGCCTGGTGCCAGCTCGCCCCGTCTCCAGGGCCTGGTGCCAGCTCGCCCCGTCTCCAGGGCCTGGTGCCAGCTCGCCCCGTCTCCAGGGCCTGGTGCCAGCTCGCCCCGTCTCCAGGGCCTGGTGCCAGCTCACCCCGTCTCCAGGGCCTGGTGCCAGCTCGCCCCGTCTCCAGGGCCTGGTGCCAGCTCACCCCGTCTCCAGGGCCTGGTGCCAGCTCGCCCCGTCTCCAGGGCCTGGTGCCAGCTCGCCCCGTCTCCAGGGCCTGGTGCCAGCTCGCCCCGTCTCCAGGACCTGGTGCCAGCTCGCCCCGTCTCCAGGGCCTGGTGCCAGTTCGCCCCGTCTCCAGGGCCTGGTGCCAGCTCGCCCCGTCTCCAGGGCCTGGTGCCAGCTCGCCCCGTCTCCAGGGCCTGGTGCCAGCTCGCCCCGTCTCCAGGGCCTGGTGCAAGCTCGCCCCGTCTCCAGGGCCTGGTGCCAGCTCGCCCCGTCTCCAGGGCCTGGTGCCAGCTCGCCCCGTCTCCAGGGCCTGGTGCCAGCTCGCCCCGTCTCCAGGGCCTGGTGCCAGCTCGCCCCGTCTCCAGGGCCTGGTGCCAGCTCGCCCCGTCTCCAGGGCCTGGTGCCAGCTCGCCCCGTCTCCAGGGCCTGGTGCCAGCTCGCCCCGTCTCCAGGGCCTGGTGCCAGCTCGCCCCGTCTCCAGGGCCTGGTGCCAGCTCGCCCCGTCTCCAGGGCCTGGTGCCAGCTCGCCCCGTCTCCAGGGCCTGGTGCCAGCTCGCCCCGTCTCCAGGGCCTGGTGCCAGCTCTCCCCGTCTCCAGGGCCTGGTGCCAGCTCGCCCCGTCTCCAGGGCCTGGTGCCAGCTCGCCCCGTCTCCAGGGCCTGGTGCCAGCTCGCCCCGTCTCCAGGGCCTGGTGCCAGCTCGCCCCGTCTCCAGGGCCTGGAGCCAGCACGCCCCGTCTCCAGGGCCTGGAGCCAGCACGCCCCGTCTCCAGGGCCTGGAGCCAGCTCGCCCCGTCTCCAGGGCCTGGAGCCAGCTCGCCCCGTCTCCAGGGCCTGGAGCCAGATCGCCCCGTCTCCAGGGCCTGGAGCCAGCTCGCCCCGTCTCCAGGGCCTGGAGCCAGCTCGCCCCGTCTCCAGGGCCTGGAGCCAGCTCGCCCCGTCTCCAGGGCCTGGAGCCAGCTCGCCCCGTCTCCAGGGCCTGGAGCCAGCTCGCCCCGTCTCCAGGGCCTGGAGCCAGCTCGCCCCGTCTCCACGGCCTGGAGCCAGCTCGCCCCGTCTCCAGGGCCTGGAGCCAGCTCGCCCCGTCTCCCGGGCCTGGAGCCAGCTCGCCCCGTCTCCCGGGCCTGGAGCCAGCTCGCCCCGTCTCCCGGGCCTGGAGCCAGCTCGCCCCGTCTCCCGGGCCTGGAGCCAGCTCGCCCCGTCTCCCGGGCCTGGAGGCAGCTCGCCGCGTCTCCCGGGCCTGGAGCCAGCTCGCCCCGTCTCCCGGGCCTGGAGCCAGCTCGCCCCGTCTCCCGGGCCTCGTGCCAGCTCGCCCCGTCTCCCGGGCCTTGTGCCAGCTCGCCCCGTCTCCCGGGCCTCGTGCCAGCTCGCCCAGTCTCCCGGGCCTCGTGCCAGCTCGCCCAGTCTCCCTGGCTTCGTGCCAGTCTCCCTGGCTTCGTGCCAGTCTCCCTGGCTTCGTGCCAGTCTCCCTGGCTTCGTGCCAGTCTCCCTAGCTTCGTGCCAGTCTCCCTGGCTTCGTGCCAGTCTCCCTGGCTTCGTGCCAGTCTCCCTGGCTTCGTGCCAGTCTCCCTGGCTTCGTGCCAGTCTCCCTGGCTTCGTGCCAGTCTCCCTGGCTTCGTGCCAGTCTCCCTGGCTTCGTGCCAGTCTCCCTGGCTTCGTGCCAGTCTCCCTGGCTTCGTGCCAGTCTCCCTGGCTTCGTGCCAGTCTCCCTGGCTTCGTGCCAGTCTCCCTGGCTTCGTGCCAGTCTCCCTGGCTTCGTGCCAGTCTCCCTGGCTTCGTGCCAGTCTCCCTGGCTTCGTGCCAGTCTCCCTGGCTTCGTGCCAGTCTCCCTGGCTTCGTGCCAGTCTCCCTGGCTTCGTGCCAGTCTCCCTGGCTTCGTGCCAGTCTCCCTGGCTTCGTGCCAGTCTCCCTGGCTTCGTGCCAGTCTCCCTGGCTTCGTGCCAGTCTCCCCGGCTTCGTGCCAGTCTCCCTGGCTTCGTGCCAGTCTCCCTGGCTTCGTGACAGTTCACCCAGTCTCCCTGGCTTCGTGCCAGTTCACCCAGTCTCCCTGGCTTCGTGCCAGTTCACCCAGTCTCCCTGGCTTCGTGCCAGTTCACCCAGTCTCCCTGGCTTCGTGCCAGTTCACCCAGTCTCCCTGGCTTCGTGCCAGTTCACCCAGTCTCCCTGGCTTCGTGCCAGTTCACCCAGTCTCCCTGGCTTCGTGCCAGTTCACCCAGTCTCCCTGGTTTCGTGCCAGTTCACCCAGTCTCCCTGGGTTCGTGCCAGTTCACCCAGTCTTCCTGGCTTCGTGCCAGTTCACCCAGTCTCCCTGGCTTCGTGCCAGTTCACCCAGTCTCCCTGGCTTCGTGCCAGTTCACCCAGTCTCCCTGGCTTCGTGCCAGTTCACCCAGTCTCCCTGGCTTCGTGCCAGTTCACCCAGTCTCCCTGGCTTCGTGCCAGTTCACCCAGTCTCCCTGGCTTCGTGCCAGTTCACCCAGTCTCCCTGGCTTCGTGCCAGTTCACCCAGTCTCCCTGGCTTCGTGCCAGTTCACCCAGTCTCCCTGGCTTCGTGCCAGTTCACCCAGTCTCCCTGGCTTCGTGCCAGTTCACCCAGTCTCCCTGGCTTCGTGCCAGTTCACCCAGTCTCCCTGGCCTCGTGCCAGTTCACCCAGTCTCCCTGGCTTCGTGCCAGTTCACCCAGTCTCCCTGGCTTCGTGCCAGTTCACCCAGTCTCCCTGGCTTCGTGCCAGTTCACCCAGTCTCCCTGGCTTCGTGCCAGTTCACCCAGTCTCCCTGGCTTCGTGCCAGTTCACCCAGTCTCCCTGGCTTCGTGCCAGTTCACCCCGTCTCCCTGGCTTCGCTCCAGTTCACCCAGTCTCCCTGGCTTCGTGCCAGTTTACCCAGTCTCCCTGGCTTCGCTCCAGTTTACCCAGTCTCCCTGGCTTCGTGCCAGTTCACCCAGTCTCCCTGGCTTCGTGCCAGTTTACCCAGTCTCCCGGGCTTCGTGCCAGTTCACCCAGTCTCCCTGGCTTCGTGCCAGTTTACCCAGTCTCCCTGGCTTCGTGCCAGTTTACCCAGTCTCCCGGGCTTCGTGCCTGTTTACCCAGTCTCCCGGGCTTCGTGCCAGTTTACCCAGTCTCCCGGGCTTCGTGCCAGTTTACCCAGTCGCCCGGGCTTCGTGCCAGTTTACCCAGTCGCCCAGGCTTCGTGCCAGTTTACCCAGTCGCCCTGGCTTCGTGCCAGTTTACCCAGTCTCCCTGGCTTGGAGACTTTTGCTATTTCTGGCTTTTGATATTTCTTAACCATTAGACACCGGCTATGGTGAAATGGTCATACGTGCCCATGCACAAAAATATATCATTATAGAATTATTAATTTGTTTGCAGATAAGAAAAATACTGAAATAAGTGAATATTTATTGTTTCACTGTGTGGAGGGACTGTGAGTTTGGGTCTGGCACTTGTCAACGCCTGATGATCGGTTTGCCAACACTTCCTGATTTATTCTCAGCTGTTTCACTGATTATTTTTATCGCTTCTTTTTCTTTATTCGCATCCCCAGAAAACTTTTATATTAATATTTGCATTACACATGTAAAGGCCAGACAATAATTGTTTGAATCATCATATGATGATGACTGCAGTCCCCTGTGAATCAACACCTGACAATAACTACTGTCTAAGGGGAGCCGGTCGGCCGAGTGAACAGCACACTGGACTTGTGATCCTGTGGTCCTGGGCTCGATCCTAGGCGCTGGCAAGAAACAATGGGCAGAGTTTCTTTCACCCTATGCCCCTGTTACCTAGCAGTAAAATAGGTACCTGGGTGTTAGTCAGCTGTCACGCGCTGTTTCCTGGGGGTGGAGGCCTGGTCGAGGACCATGCTGCGGGGACACTAAAGCCCCGAAATCATCTCAAGATTGGGTGAAAGTGTTTGTAAATCCAAAGTATTCTGTATCACACTATTATCACACATCTAAACAATTTCATGTGGTACACTACTTATTTCCTTATTTATATAGTTATTAAGTTGACACTAATAGATAATTATGTAAAGTGTAGGCGTGCGGCATACTACATAATTTACACTCCTTATCTATTTTACTGACAACACCGTAATACCAAAAACATGTGTATCCTACTCTTAATCTCATGTAAATTGAATCTTTCCAAATAGACTTTCCTCTACGATAAGTGAAGGACGCATAATGCTTTTGTGTGATGCTGTCCACAATAGCCGTTCCCTTTACTTTTTATTCATCCTCTTTGATCATCTTGATTTATGACCGTTTCAAAGTTTTATGACATACAACATCGACAAGAGTTTTTCTAAGGCTCTCTTTGCTATCACATCAATTGCCTCATTCACCAATATTCCCATATGTGAAGGGAGCCATATAAATCTTATATTACGTTCATTTTTTTCTAAAAACTTTACATTCTCTATACACTGTTACAATATTTTGGTATACTGCTCGTCTGCCATATAAGGACTCCAACGCTTCTCTACTGTTTACATATATATAAAAAAAAAAATTCTACATTTGACTACTTATTGTAATCCTGCTAATTCAGTTTTAAGTTCAGCCTGCATTGAAGAGACATTGTCAGTTAAGCAGTGTCCAATAACAGTATATATACAGTGCCGATATGTACTCCCTAATAAAAACTGCATCCTACCTTTCCACATCCTTAGCTGTTGTTGCCGTAGTTTTAGATTTAGCTACTCAGAACTGAATGTCCATGTACCACAGGCTATAGTGAGCCCGTAATTGAGATCGGTTATTCACAATAACCTTGCTACTGTGATATTTGTGTCAAAGTTTTAAATGAAGGTGTGGTTTCCTCCTCTTCAATTTTTTTACTGCTTATGTTTTAATGCACTGGTTTTAGTCTTATTTTGATAACATTACCCTGGGGGCAGATATAGATGTACAGTGTTCACTAGTGTCCCATTATTCAACTGCATTGTAGTCTAAAACTAGCTACTAATCCATCACAAAATACATGTGTTTTCTGTAGGTAATTCTCTAATTATACAGTTATATGTTGCTCTCAGCTCTGCTATCTCATACATACTTTGCTCTTTTGCAGGAGAATAATTACTACATCTACGTTACACTCTTTCCATGGTGGTGCGAATTGTCTCTTAGGAAAAGCAATACATTTGGGAATAACATGCTCTAAGATCAGCACATAAGATACTCATATGCTCTCATTATACTTTAACATACATTGTTCATTACATATCAAAACATACATTAATTCATTAGCGCCACCGCTTCATTAATCTAATTGCAGAGGGTATATTTATCTTTAAAATTACATCCCTAATACTCTGTAGGGACCCCAGACATGTGCCGAGGCATTCATACATGCTTTCCATATGTTTGATGACCGTCGATCCTGCCCCAAGTTAGTGATCTCAGTGCAACTTCGTTGCAGGGGAAGCATGTCTGAGGGAAGTCTGGAATCGCCCAGTTGTATGCATTGCCCTAAATCAACAGTAGTGCTACTAGAAGTTCATATCTCCTAGAAGACAATGGCATGGAGGGTTCTACAAGCGGATGGTGGGAACATTCAAATGCTGTCCAAGGTAAACCCTCCACCACAAAAGTTTGATCTATAGAAGCTTCACACCGGTCAACGAAATTGATTCTCGGGTCAATAACAGACCACTGACGATCTTTCGCAGGTAAGCCATTAAGTCCATCCAATCTGATGTATGGAACACTTCGTAAATCTCTAGCATCCCTCACATACATGGGGCCAGAAGATCCGTCACATGACGTAGTGACTTAAGAGGTACAAACATCTGTCGAGAGTAATAAGTCGGTGGAATGACGTTTGGACTCTAGAATACTGAACTGCTCCTAGGGAGAATGACTACTATGGGAGAATAATGACTATAGGACAATAATGAGTATGGGAGAATAATAACTATAGGAGCATGACTATGGGAGTATCAGCAAATAACCCCTACAATAAAAAAAAATCTGGTGGTGATGTTCTGGTTGACAGTGTTCACGTTCATAATGGCCCTCTAGGCGGTATAGTCTGTCTATTCAGGCAGCCAAGGTATCTTGAGAACAGTGTAAGTGTAGTGAAGAGGTACAACTAGTCTCAACCCCTTAGAAAAACTAATTCCCTCGTAGCTAGCAGGAAAGGATGTCACCCAGAGACTTCCCACCCCACTGTCCTGAAAGGACTGCTGCACAACATTGCAAATTAAAACAAACAATACTATAATACTGAAGGAGAACAATGGTTTCTTAATTCCTAAAAAGTGAACTCCAACCCATGTTATTCCCTTCCTCCCCGGAATTATTTTTTTTTTTATCTTTATTTAAAAAAATACAATATAAGTTACATATACATAAGTGTTACAAGGCAATTATACATTACAATTCTTAGTGAACATGTGTTTCAGTAGTACAGAACAAGATCTTTTAGAAAACCCTTATAAACGAGTTACAAAAATTGAAGAATAAACTTACATTAAAATACAGGGGAAAATATTACATTTATATATATTTTATATAAGCCTCAGTAAACCAATTTTCTATATCATCACCGAGCATGAGCCGTAAACCCCAGATGTTATACCTGATCCTGCCTCGCAAGAACTTCAATATTTTGTCTACTGAGTAACCTTCCTGCCTGCCTATCCACACACAAAAAATGTAATCAGAAAGTAACATAATTATTGTATTCCTAATTTTCTTGCATTTTACGTCAATATGAAACATTAAAAACCTCATTAACTCCACTCTAATACTTGGTCCATATAAATCTTTAAGAGTGTCTCTAATCCAGTTTACAAGAACAACTTTCTGCCTACAGAAATAAAATATATGCATATTATTCTCAATTTCAGTACATTGGTCACACCTATTGTCGTCTTTAATGCCCAACATCAACAACCTATCATTAGTTGGGAGGGTTTCATGAATATAGCGATACAATAGCTCACGTTGTTTTGGGGCAATAAATTTAACATGAAGGTTTGCCCATATTACTTGC